GTTCCCGTATCCGCATGGTCTCCACGGCCGGCGTGCCTTGAGGGTGGCTGGGGGCACAGAAGCTGCCACCGGTGATCCTCTCGTCCCCGTTTTTGTTTTCGTCCTCCCTCCTCCTCCCCCTCCGGCGCCTTCCTTTGCATGCTCATCTCCACAGTGGTAGTTTGTCTTGTAGGTGATGCTCTTCACCAGGGGCCTGCTCGCCATTTTTCTGCTTGGCGTTAGGCATAGGGCTGATGGCATGCATTGCGGCCAGTCTGTGCCCTTCTCCTCGTCCTTCCCCCCTCACGCCTCCACCGAAGGTTCTCGCGAGGGCCGTGTGCGCGAGCCGCCAACCCATGTTGGTGTACGCACGCGCGAGTTTTGGGTTGTTGGATGCTTTTCCCATCCTGCTCCTCCTTTTCCTCCTCTCTCCTCCTTTCCTTGCCTCCTCCTCCCTCCTCCCCTCTCCTGCCCGAGTCCGGGGCTATTGCAGGTTTTTGCCATCATCTCTGTACTGCTGCCGGCTCCTGGCAGCGAATTCGTATCTTGTGTTATCTGTATTGTCGTTTCCTGCGTCCGTTTCCACACACATGTCGAGGAAGAAAACGGCTTTCAAATGCAACCGGCATTCGCGTTACGACGGTGGTTCTTGAATCTTGCGGTCCGCTCCCATCTTCTCCCCCCCAACAAAAATGTGGATGATGATACTGCTTGTGATGAGGATGACGATGAGGTTGACGATGACGATGGCGATGCTGATGTTGCTGATGATAATGATGATGAGGAGGATGACGATACTCATGGTGATGATCATGATGATGCTGCTTGATGGCGACGGTGTTGCTGATGATGCTAATGATGATGCTGCTGATGATGATGATGATGATGATCATGCTGATGACGATGATCATGATGATGCTGCTTGATGACGATGAGGATGATGCTGCTGCTGACGATGATGATGATGATGATCATGAGGATGATGCTGATGATTATGTTAAGGTTGATGATGCTCATGATGATGCTGCTGCTGCTGATGATGACTATGATGGTGATGATGAGGATGACGATGATGGTGACGTTCTTGATGATGCTGCTTGATGACGATGGTAATGCTGCTGCTAATGATGGCGATGACCATGCTGCTGATGATGATGATGGTGGTGATGATGCTGATGATGATCAGGCTGCTGATGATGATGTTGATGATGCTGATGATGCTGAAGATGACGATGCTGATTGTGATGATGATGATGATGATAATGATGATGATTATGATGATAATGATGATGATGATGATGATGATGATGATGATGATGATGATGAGGATGATGCTGCTGATGATGATGATGATGATGCGGATGCGGATGCTGCTTATGATGCTGATGCTGAAACTGATGCTGCTGATGATGAGATGATGCTTAGGATGATGATGATGATGATGATGATGATGATGATGATGATGATGATTATGCCCATGATGCTCATGATCATGATGATGCTGACGGTGGCCATGATGCTGATGATGGTGATGATGCTGATGCTGATGATGATGATGATCATCATCATGATGATGCTGCTGCTGGTAATGCTGCTGCTGATGATGATGATGATGATGAAGATGAGGATGCTGATAATGATGACGATGCTGATGATGATGATGATGATGGTGATGATGATGCTGATGATAATGATGACGATGATGATGATGAGGATGATGATGGTGATGGTGATGACGACGACGATGATGATGATGAGGATTACGATGATGATGATGATGCTGATGATGCTGATGATGCTGCTGATGATGATGATGATGCTGATGCTGATGATGATGAGGAGGAGGAGAAACAGGAGGAGGCAGAGGAGGCGGAGAGGAGGATGAGAAATGATATGAATCTTACAATGCTGATGCTGCTGCTGATGATGATGCTGATGCTGCTGCTGATGACGATGACGATGACGATGACGATGCTGATGGCAGTGGTGATGATGATGGTGATGCTGGTGATGCTGATGATGGGGAGGAGGAAGATGCTGATGCTGATGCTGCTGATGATGGTGGTGGTGCTGATGATGATGTTGCTGATGATGCTGATGCTGATGTTGCTGATCTTGCTGATGTTCAAGCTGATGGTTATGATGCTGCTGCTGATGATGACCGTGGTGGTGCTGGTGATACTAGTGATGATGATACTGCTAATGATGATGATGACGATTATGACGATGACGATAGTGATGATGATGCTGATGTTGCTTATGCTGATAATGATGAGGATGACGATGATGATAATGCTGATAATGCTCATGCTGATAATGATCATGACGATGCTTCTTGATGACGATAATGATGATAGTGCTGGTGATGATGATCATGGTGATGATGATGGTGATGATGAGGATGACGATGATGCTGATGATGATGCTGATGATGCTGCTGATGATGCTGATTATGTTATGAGATGCTGCTGATGATGAGGATGCTGCTCATGGTGATGCTGCTGCTAGTGATGATGATGATGCTCATGATAATGGTGATTGTGATGCTGCTGTTGATGATAATGATATGATGCTGATGATTAGGACGATGATGATGCTAGTACTGATGCTGATGCTGATGCTGACGATGATCATGCTGCTGACGACGATATTACTGATAGTGATGCTGATGATGATGCTGATGCTGATGATGGCGATGATGCTGCTGCTGATGATGATGACGCTGATGCTGATGATGCTGAAGATGATGCTGCTGCTGACGGTGGTGATGGCTATGCTGATGATGATGATGCTAATTATGATTATGTTGATGATGATGCTGATACTGATGCTGATGATGATGCTGCTGCTGATGATGATGATTATGATGTTGATGCTGTTGCTGCTGATAATGATGTTGATGATGCTGATGCTGCTGCTGATGCTGATTATGATGATGATGTTGCTAATGATGATGATGATGATGATGATGATGATGATGATGATGGTGATGATGATGATGCTGCTGATGAAAACGGTGATGATGATGCAGCTGATGATGATGCTGCTGTTGCTGATGATGATGATGATGATGGTTCTGATGATGCTGATCATGATGCCGCTGATCATGTTGATGCTGATTGTGATGACGACGATGCTGATGTTGATGGTTCTGATGATGACGATGATGATGATGATGCTGATGATGCTCATGCTGATGATGCTGATGGTGATGCTGCTGATGATGATGATGCTAATGATGCTGATGATGATCATGATGATGCTGCTACTGCTGCTGCTGATGATGCTGCTGATGCTGATGATGATGATGATGATGATTGTGATGATGATGATGATGATGATGATGATGATGATGATGATGATGAGATGATGATGATGATGATGATGTGATGACGATGTGATGATGCTGCTGATGATGATGCTGATGCTGATGCTGCTGATGATGATGTGATGATGATGATGATGATGATGATGATGATGATGATGATGATGACGACGAGGAGAGGACGAGGACAAAGGGAGGAGGAGGAGGAGGAGGAGGCAGGAGGAGGGGAGGTGGTGAGGAGGGGGAGAGGAGGAGGAGGAGGAGGAGGAGGAGGAGGAGGAGGAGGAGGAGGGGTGGAGGAGGCGGAGGAGGAGGAGGAGATGAGGACGAGTTTGAGGAGGAGGAGGAGGAGGAGGAGGCGGAGGAGGAGGAGGAGGAGGCGGAGGAGGAGGAAGCATAGAAGAAGAAGACGAATGAGACGAATACTAACACGACTAGTATGAATACTACTAATACGCAGCATAAGAAAAATACGAATAATACTACTAAGAAGGCGACCGATAAGAACATTTAGAATACTATGACGAACACTCATAACAATACGAACACTACTACTACTAATACTAATACGTAGTAATACGAAGAATAAGAATTTTATTACGACTAACAAGACGACTAATACGAATACTCATAATACGACTAATAATATGACGATGAATAGTACTAGTACGAATAAGAAGACTAATCAGACTAAGAAGACGAATGCTAATACTTCGAAGAACAACCATACTAATACTACTAATAATAACAATAATATTAATAATAACAATACCAATACTACTACTAATAATACGAATAATAATGTTATTAATACTACTATTACTCATATTCATCATACTATTCATAATACTAATAATACGAATACTACTAATAATAATGCTACTATCATTACGAATACTACTAATAGTAATACTAGTACTTATACTAATAGTAGTACTACTATTATTATTATTAGTAATAATAATACTAATAATACAATAATAATAACGATAATGATAATTATAACACTTATACTACTTATAGTAATACTACTAATACTAATAATAATAATGGTAATACTACTAATTCTGATAATACTACTACTAATAACAATAATAACAATAATAATACTAAGAATCGTACTAATAATACTAATAATACTAGTACTAATAATAATACTAATAATAATACTAATACTAATATTAATAATAACACAATTATTATTAATAATACAACTAATAATACTAATAATACTAATACTAATACTAATACTAATACTAATACTAATAATAATAATAATTATTATTATTACTACTACTATTATTATTATTATTATTATTATTATTATTATTATTATTATTATTAGTATTATTATAATACTAATAATACTACTAATACTAATAATACTATTCTTACTAATAATACGAATAATAATATTCATGACCACACTAAGAAGACGAGGATGAGGAGGATGATGATGATGAGGAGGAGGAGGAGGTGGAGGAGGAGGAGGAGGAGGAAGAGGAGGAAAGGGAGGGGGAGGAGGAGGAGGAGAGAGGAGGAGGAGAGAGGAGGAGGAGGAGGCGGGGAGGAGGAGGAGGAAGAGGAGGCGGAGGAGGAGACGGGGAGTAGGCGAGGAGGAGGAGGAGGAGGAGGAGGGAGGAGGAGAGGAGGAGGAGGAGATATCGGTGGCGCCAGCGTCTGGAACGGGTGTGAGGAGGTCCCCCGCCCTCCGCGGCGGCCCCCTGCTGCCCGTCTTTCAGCGCGGTCGCGCCCAGAGTG